GCCTCCAGGTTGTCGTAGAGGGCTGCTATGTGCAGCGCTGTTTCCCCCATGGCTCCTGGCATTTGTAAAGAAAAGAGTCACCTGGATTCTATGGAGCAGAGGAGTGGGGACAGTACAGACTGAAGGTCCTGGGCTCTCCTGGGAAGTCCTGTGTCAGGGGCTGACCCTGTAGATGGATGGGTGCTGGGCTCTGATCCTTACCTCTCTGGTACACCTCACAGGCCTCATACTTGAGCAGCTTGCTCAGCACCTGGACATCATTTTCTTTGGCTGCTAGAAGGAGAGGAGACTCCCAGATCCTACCAGGGAATGGGAGAAGAGAAGTAGTGACAGKGAGCATGCTCAGTGGTGGATCAAGTGGTGAGGCTTTGTCCTTCAGAACCTGTATCTGGGCTGCGATGGACCCCAAGGCCCTTGACCCAGGCGGGTGGGACCATGGCAGAGCAAAGGTCACCTAGTCTTTCTTCACCTGGCCAGTCAGTGGGAGAGGGTCATGACTGGCTAGCCATACCCTGAGTGCCGGACCAGAATGTACAGTGCGAGTCAGCGTTATCTTGCATATCAGGTGAGCGGGGAGGAGTTGTACTCAGTATGCATTCACCTCCTGACCTGTTTACCTCTGGAGTGGTCCTGGGTTAGCCTCCTGGCTGCCCTGAGATTGCCTTCAGGATCAGCCTTGTTTTGCATGGACTAGGGGTACAAGAAGTTCCTCCCTCATGTTTGTGGAGGAAGTCAACATGCAGAGGCTAACCAGTTTTTTCCTGTTGTGATGCTCTGCCTATTTGACCTTCTCAGAAATTCCTTTTATTCTAGCTTTTTCCTCCTCCTGAGGGTAGCATCTTTGGGGTTCAGTCCAAAAGTGAGAGCTGCTTGTTTGTAAAGGCCTCTCTCTGCCTCTCTCTCTCTCTCTCTCTCTCTCTCTCTCCCTGTCTCTCTTCTTTCTTCTCACATGTTATTTTTATGCAGTTTCTTCTTAAAGAAATCATTAGCATCTTATGAGCACTGATAAGAAATATGAACTCTCAGGCCCACCCTTGGACCTGGAAAACCAGGGTCTGTAATTTAAGAAAATTCCAACTGATTCTTGTGCATATTAAAATTTTGAGGARCATCACTCAAGTCAGTAGCTATTCGAGTATGCTCCGTGCATGCAAATTACCAAAGGTGATGGATCCAGGCATGCTCAGGAAACTCCACTTTCAAACAGCACACACTAGAGCTTAGCACTTGTAAAAATATAAACTATGGCCAGCAATGATAGATGCAGAGAAGCTGGAAAATCTAATTAGTAGGATGCCATGCAGGTTTGAATGTCCCCATTCTTTCCTTTTGTTCTTTTTGGGCTTCCCTGATTTTGGATTCATAGGCTCTTTTTTAAAAATTTTGTATTTTCTTGTCCTTAGTCTTTCCTTTTTTATTATCTGCTTTTCACTTGCTTTAGGGGAAAATTATCTTCTATGACTCTCCAGATTTCTCTAGTGTTATTCTGACAATGAACTAAAAATCTCATCAAATCACAACTTTTTCCAACTAAGACATATGGATTACCTTCTATTCAATTTTCTCCCTCAGCCTTGAGCCATTTGGTCTTTCTATAGGAGTGAATGAAATAATCCTATTTATTTATATGTGGCCAATTACATGATATACCAAAACAAACAAACAAACAGAAAACATCAACAGGAGTTCATATTCCGAAGTGCCAGCAGGGTAATTACAAGAAACCTACTGTGAAACTGGGGTTGGGAGGGTAATCCAGAAGAGGAGAAATGACTCGGACATCTCCCCAGCCATAGCTCCTYCCTCCCCTCCAGGCCACATGGGCAGCCACCAGGCTGGTCACTCCAACATCCAAGTTCCATCTCCATTCATTCCTTTCCTTTTTGCTCCTGCTAACCTTCATTAAGTCATGTCCTCATTCTCTAGCCCAAGATTAGCAAAATATTCTCCTAACTAGTGCCCCTGCACCCTACATACCCCTAATCCCTTCTTCCGGAGGCTGCCAAGACAACCTTTCTAAAATGCCACCTGCAATCACAGCTTATCATATTCGGATGGGTACCTCAGTGCCCAAGGAGAGGGAACACAGAGGTCCTTTACGGTCTTTGTACAACTATTTTTCCATTTGCTGCTCCTCCCACTCACTCCTTCCACCCTGCGTTTTGGTCTCACCACACACGTCTCAGCTCCGCAGAGCACATGGATTTCCCTATGCCTGCGCCCACAGGGCTCCCTCCTCCTAGAATTGACTGCCAGGCCCTGAATTGTTCATTGTATATTCTGCACTGYGCTGCTGGGGAGAAGCTGAGAATGCAGTGGGCGCTCACCAGAGCTAGCTGTGCAATGGATGAATCCCTAGCAGGGCAAAAAGGTGGCCTGATTTTACTGCCCCTCCTTATTTTCTCTAGTAGCCATCCCCTGAGTCAGCCTTAAGCAAACATATATCTAAACGAAAAACAGTATGCTTGGCATGCAAAAACAGCTGCAGAAAAGCTTCTGACACCTCCTTTCCCATCACCACCACCCCTCCGGCCATTTGCCCAAACTCCTCTTCTGTAGATATTCAGAACCTGCACTAGAACGGGGCACACTCACATATACACACCCTCCCCAGCATATTCTTTACTCTCTCCTTTGGCTTYACTTTTATTCCGGCATCTCATTCTTTGGGTTGTAATTAGCATCTTTCTATTCCTAGACCCAAGGAAAGGGCCCTATTCATCTCTGAAGCCTGCAGACGTCCCCCCTCAAGYCTCCAATCCCTATATCTTCCTTTTCTTGCTTCTGTAGATATTCTTGTGGGACTGGAGAGAACMTAGGTTTGCCAGATTTGTAAAGTAAAAATACCAGATGCTCAATTAATTTTTAATTTTACATCCATAACTGTTTTTTTAAATATATATCCCATGCAATATTTGTGATACTCTAACMCTAATAATTTACTCTTTGTTAATCTGAGATTCACCTTGAACTGGGTATCCTGGATTTTATCTGATAACCTAACCAGAGCACATTCTGGGTGAAGAAACAACTTATAATCCAACCCAGCAAAGTCTTTTTGAAAATCACCTCTTCTGGTTGCCAACTCCAGAATCCAACAAAAAGTTGGGTAGGCGTGTGAATGGGTTCCATGGTATCAGGGAGAGACATTACTTGTAATAATAAAATGGGGCCACCAGGGGACAGCAGAGAAAGCCCAAGTTTTGGTTCTTGGTAGTGTGGAGGCAGACCCCCAAATCTCTGAGGATCCTCAGGCTCCATAAGGAATGTGCAAAGAGCATCAAAGATGCTTGTAGATTCTCCAATAGCAGCCCATCAGAGGAGTTTAGATCACTACTGAGGGACAGGGGTGTGCTCCTGGCAGAGGGAAGGGATGCTACTAAACATCCCGTACAGGATGGCACYCACCAGAGAGCTACCCTGCCCTAAATGTTAATCATGCCAAGGTGGAGAAACCCTGACTTCCAGGTACAAGTGTTCATGATCCATTTAAAAAAGGAAAAAAGGATTCTTCACATGAAAGAGAATTAGAAATTTGCCATACATACAAAATGTTGTCCTAACAGATCATTAAATAMTCAACTAAGGAGGAAACAAAAAGATAAAGCCATTTAAGCTCCCACTGGTTAAGTAGCAAAAAGAATTATAGAGCAAATCTGAAATTATCACACTAGGAAAGGTGTTTTCAGGTCCTAGAATTTTTTGTTTTACTGTTCAATTAATTATGAAATTGAAGTCTACACTCCATATCGATTATAGAACCTATCTATGGGGTTCCTGGCACAAAACCAGGTCCCTTTTTTTTTTTTTTTTTGCTGAGAAGACAAGTCAATGCTTTTCCACTCAGGCCACCTCTAGGCCACCAACTAAGGATCTTTGACTTCCCTCCTCTCTGCCCCTGGACCCCACACTCCTCTCTTGGTTCTCATGTACTTATATATCTGTGTGTTCCATGTACACAAGTCAAGTTTTGTTTTTAGTGCTGGGGAAAACAGCAGAATACAGACATTCTTGAGGAAAAGCTCAAATCAGAAGATTAAGATTAGAAAGTCCCCAGAAATTGAGTCTAATCTGTTCATGTGACAGAGTCCCAGAGCTCTGATGTGATTTGTCCAACCAAGCCAGAGGCAGAGCTGGGATGAGTGCCCCTTTAGCCATTTCCCCATCCCTGTTCTTAATGCTAATAAAAGTTGGAAGAAGGCTCAGAGACCACAGAGGGGACCATGAGGAGACCCATCAATCCCATAGGTTTCTCCCCAAACATGCTCTCAGATGAAGGTGCCTTCATGATGGAGATGGGAATGATACACAGTATGGTTGGACACACCTTCTGGTAGATTCTGTCCTGTTCTGCTAGGAGGAAGTCCACAGCCTCTCTGAGGCTTGCGATCTTGAGGAGTTGCCCTATATTGCTATGTATTTTTTTTTAATCATAATAATTCCACTTGTTAAACACACTATTCAGTTTCCAAAGCAATATATCTCTTTTTCTCATTATCACCCTTTAGCATGATGGGGGTAATTCTCCCCTTTTTCAAAAAAGTAAACTGAGGCAGCATGGCCAATCATTGCCAGAAGATTACACAGGGTTAAAAGGCAGAAAGCTTGGCCAAGAACATAGCCCCAGGCTCTTACCACTAAATTATGTGGTTCTTCAAGTTTTATGGCTCCTCCTGGTTTTTCTTGGGAGGTGGTGGGGGGTATGCCTGGGGCGGTGACCACAGAGGAAGAAGAGAGCAGTCATGTGTGGGAAGCAATATTCACTGAGCACTTGTGGGTCCTCCCTCTAGCTGAGGCTCCTGGCAATGAGATGAGGAAGCCAAAATCTGCGGAAAGTGGCTCTTTCGAGACTTGGAGCCTGGCCATCTTTTTAACTACCACGATACCTCCATGTAAGTAGACGGGTGTACATGCAAGTCGATGAGTGTGTGTTTGYTGAGGCAGGAGTGAGTGGAGCACGGGGCGTGCCAGAGCTTAGCATTCTCAGACACTTCAGTTCACCTATATTCATCCATGTACCTACATAACTGTAGAAAACCACAGAGAACCTTCCAGTATACCTGCCTTTGCTCCTGGAGAGAAGGTGCCAGCATGGGAGGGACTAGAGTCATTTGGGGCAGCCTCTGACTGCTCTCAGCTGAAATCAGATATGGCAGCTTCCTCCTCTGTGCTCCCTTTGCACTGGTCTGTCCCCTTCTGGTGACCTTCACCAAGCTCATCTTTAACCACATCCAGTCATCCCTCCAGTCTGGGAAGGGGATTGCACAGGACTTCCACAGCTATGGAAATGCACAGATGCTCAGGTCCTTTATATACAGTGGTGTGGTGTTTGCCTATAATTTACACACATCTCTAGATGGCTTCTGAGACCCAATTCAATGTGAACACTGTGTAAATAGTTGTTACCCTATTGTTTAGGAAATAACAACACGACCATCGTGTGCTTAACCACACAGCACACGTCAGCAACAACAGAACTTTTTAAAAATTATTTCCTCTCCAAGGTTTGGTTGAATTTGCTGAAGCAAGGGCTGGGAACATAACTTGGTGGGAGAACACTCGTCTAGCATGAGCAAGGCCCTGGGTTCCATCCTAGCACCACAGACAAAAAAGAAAAAGTGATCGAATCTGCAGGTGCAGAGGGCCTAGTGTATATGCATTTGGGTACATTTTTCCCCTCAGGACGTGAGCCCTTGAGAGTAGGAATGTGTCCTACTCATTTTCCAAACCTAGTGAAGTGTCCTATGCTCAAATGTTGAATGCAATGATTATCAAAAAGTGAAAAAATTTGAGCCAGAGGGAGAGGTGATCTGGAAGAAATGGGAGAGAGTTGAGAACTCAACTTGGACCCCAACAACGTGGATCTCAGTAGGAGGCTGTCTGATGAAGACCCAAGCAAGAAACCTTCTCACTGGACCATCCATGGAACCGCACCTGACCCCCCCTGAAGTTCCCCTCCAAGTCCCCCCCAGCACACATTCTGACTCACCTCTTCCTCCCTCATGGGCCCTGGGCCTGCCTCATTCCTACAGGGACGTGAGGCCCTACCTCCTCAGCCTGAATCTGAGATGACGAGACAAGGTAGGAGCTGGAAGCTATTCAGTTCCAGGTTCTCAGTACATTGTTTTTTCCTATCTCTCCTCAGCTCAACCTTCACCTCTCCATATTGACCTTATTTGCATGGCCATCCCATGATTTTGCAGTTACCAGTGTGTCTTCCTTTGTCTAGTTAACCACACAGACTAGGAAAGTCCCCTTCCAGAAAATTTCAGCTCCCTTTGGGAATTGCCACCCAAAGAGGAGCCATTATTATGGACACCTGGTGTTTAGAGGTGGAGGGCAAGAAACAGAAATGGATGCAGAGGTCAGGGAATGGAGGAGAGTCCCCAGCTGATGGCAGAATGGGCCCACTAGTTGGTCTTAGGAAGAACTGGAGGCAGACAAGACTGGGAAGAACCTATGCTCAACCTGGACCAGGATGCTCCAGCCCAAATCCCTTACAATGTCCTCCCGTCATAGCAGGACACAAGGAAGCTCACCTACCCAGGCCTCTGGGTGCTCTGTGCCTAGTGCCCCCAGCCCTAGGGTCCCAGGAGTGGGAAGAGGATGAGTAGAGCCAGTGACAACCTATTCTCTAACAATGCCATTCTGTTGTCCCAAGACGTCATCAGCCAGACATGTGTCCCAGCCCCCACTCTCCCAGGCCTGTGGGGGAGAGAGGTGGGTGGCTGATGTGAGAGACAGGAAGTCACAACTCAAAGAAGGGCACATCCCAGCCCAGAATTCTTGAGCAAAGCAGAGGAAACCCCCAGGCAGCTTTCCAGCCAGCCAAGGCAGACCCCTGCTTTCAGAGACGGAGAAAAACCCCAAGACACAAAACCTTCAGATTTTCTTCTATGAAGAGACATATTATCTGCCTCATTAGGGGCCCAGGGAAAACCCCAAAGTAACTTCCTTCTAGCTGTCATCAACTGGGTGGGAAAATCCATTAGAAACCTGGGAGGGGAGACACAGCAGGATGGCTCCAAGATCCTACGGGTTTCTCTTCTCTCCTGCTCCCAACTCCAGCTCTGAGCTGGCACTGGGGGGTGAAGCGTAGGAGTCAAGGGAGTTGAGAGAGGTCTTCAGGACTGGAGGCAACAGTGAGACTCACTTAGGACTCAAACTCTAGAGCCTCTCAAATCCCCCAACCTGAATGAGAATGTGGGTGAGCCTGGTCCCCTGCACATCTGGTATTTTGGCCAGGTACCCATGCCCGCCCCCCCCCCTCCGGTGCCTGGAAGATAGCGCAGCCTTAGTCAAGGTCTGAGATCAATGTGGAGACGGTAACTATTTCACATTTTGTCCTATGTGTGATTACTAGTGATTACTAGTCCCCTTTCGGCTTTACTCATTCGGTCTTGCCCTCATTCCTACATGTATGCATGTGTGCTCTGTGTTTCCGCCATAGAGATTGTTTTGGGGGCACAGAGAAGAGAATATATGAAGCCTGACCTGACCCGCTAGCACCTTTGAGGTGAGGGGGCCTGTGATGCCACAAGGCCCAGGGAATTCCCTTTTCCATTAGGGAGGTACTCTCTAAAGGCTCTGGGATTGAATGAGATTGTGAAGATAATGGACACCTGCTCCCCTGTAGCCACTCCTCCGTGACCTGGCATCCAGACAGGGAGCCCCACAGGCCAAGACTCTAGAGACAAGGTGCGCCCARGGAGCCGGTTCAGGCCGTGAAGCACCATCTGTGCAGCCAGGGAGGGGGGCTAAGTAAAGACAGGGGTGAAGGGGGCTGACGGGGGGTACCAGCCTGGGGCTGGGAAGCGGAGTAGACAGTGAGACTTACCTCTTCTGCTGCAGCAGGTTTTGCTCATCTCGGCTTTGAGCCGAGGACTCCTGTCTGTGGAACCATCTGCAGAACTTGTTCCATAGGCACAGAATTAACCCCTTCTCCTTGGGCAGAGACAACCCCATGGAGTGCAGAAACTGCTCTTTGGGGGGCTGAGGCCAGACCCCGACTGGGCTCGGCCTTGGGGCCACATCAGCAACCCCAAGAGCCGGCCTGCCCTCTCCCTGTAGAGGTCCCGTCTCCCACTTCTCCTTCAAGGCCCTGGGAAGCTCCCTGTGGCCGCCTAGCTGTCTGCAGAGGGCTGGAGTTTGTTACTCTTGGCAGAGCTGGGATTCTGCTGGGCTGGTCTGCCTGGAGCTCCTGCTGGGAGTGAGCTGGAGGGACACTCCCTCTCTCCTCCCAAATTACCTGAGATTTAAAGAGACAGGCCCCGCAGTCCTGCCTACCTGGGGGCCTTGCGTCAGTTCCTCTCTTTCTCCACCCTGGGACTCTCTCCCTGCCCCCAGGCCAGTCACTGCAGGGGAGGCCTTCAAAGAGATTAGAGAGCTCTCCCCTGGACTTTGGGACAACCAGTGACCTGTCTTGGGAAGGCCTGGACAGGTCAGCCTCACCTGAGAGGAGGAGGAGGGCCAGATCCATTCCCAGGATCAAGGGGCTGCAGGAAGGAGCACCCTTCCTTATAGCGCCTTTTCTGTCAGTCCCCTTCCCCTCCTTCTCTGGGCCTCCTTGACTCCTTTTTCTGGAGATTTAGGTTTTCTTGACCTTTCTGGTTAAACCTCTTGCAGGGCCTAGGATAGGTATCAAAATAGCAAAGATTCTTGGTTCTTACCAACTTCAGGTTAACAAGCTGACTCTGTGAAGGGTCAGATAGCGTAGGATTTCCCAGTTTGGCACAGTCTCTGATGCACATTCGTCTTTGTTTTGTGTTTTTTGGGGATGTGGGTTTTTGTTCTGTTTTGATTCCACCTTTAAAGATGTAAAATTCACCCATGGCTCATTAGCCAGGGCCCAAAACCTAACTGTGGGCAGATTGGGCTCTGAAGTGCTGGAGACCCCTCCCCAACACCACATACATTCAATGGACGGGGTGCCAGATAAAATACAGTATGCTTGGCAAGCTAGAATTTCAGATAATCAGCAAAGAAAAAAAAATTAGTATAAAAATGCTCCAGATTTTATCAAGTATTTTATCCCACAACCTTCTGGTAGAGGCCACATTGATTCACCACTACGGGTGCTGGGTCCTTTAATTGAGTGTTCCCACAGAAACTTACAACAAACCTGTGAGGCAGGTATTATTGTACCCATTTTCCCACAGAGAAAACTGAAGCTCAAAGTGATGAAATAAGCCATCCAAGGTCACAGAGTGGCAGAGGCCAGGTCCAAATCCACCTGGATTCTGAAGCCCACCTCCCTTCTGCTCCATCCCACACTCCACCCTAACTAGCAGAGAAATGAGAGACTCCCAGCCACACGTAGGGATGCTGTTGCAGAGACCGCCCCCCCGCCCCCTCCCCCCCCCCCACATTGATCCTGCCACAGAGAGCCTCAGCAGAAGCCATCAGGAGCTACTGGGAGCCACCATGGAGACCCTCTGGTTTATCTTCACTGTCGGAGAGAAGCAGAGGCCCTTCTGCCAGCCAAGGGCCTGCCSGCCTGGGGCAGGTGTCTGGGTGTTTAAAGTCACAGGCATGGGGTCTCCCTCTAACTCTGTAAGATTTTGTTTCCGTCTCAGATACAGCTAGTGGGAAGTTGTAGCCATGGCAGTATGTGTGTATGTGAGATGCCTATAAGGTATGCATGGTGTGCGTGCACATGTGTGTTGCCTCTGTATATGTGCGTGTGTGTGTGTGTGTGTGTGCATATGTGGTATGTATGTGCTGTGTGTATGTGATGAGTCTATGGTGTCTGGTGTGTATGGTGTGTGTGTATGGAGTGTGTGGAGTATGTATATCGGGTATGGCCTGTCTGGTGTGAATATGATGAATGTCATGGTATATATGGTGGGGATGGTGAGGAGGTGAGATGCCTATGTGTTTGATGTTATGTGTGTTCTATGTACGACTGCATGGGACATGAGGTGCAACACGTGCTGTATGTTTCTGGTGTGCTTGTGTGTACGTGCTGAGTGTTTGATACATAGTGTGCATGCTGTGTGTAGTATTATGCATATGTGTGTAATGACAGTGTGTGCTAAGTGTCTGTGGTGTCCGTGTATGGCACATGTGGTATGGTATGTATGCATGTTATGTGGTATGTATCATACATGTTGTATGGACTCTGTGTGTGTGTGTATGAGAGCACATGTGTAGGGACAAGGGAGTACTTGGGTGCAGGCAGGGTGGGGTGTCTCTGTGGGTGGGGCATAGAAGAACCACCTTTAAATGGAAAGCTAYTTGTGTTCCTGCTGTTGGACCTAAGGCCAGCCCATACAGCCCTGAGCAAACAGTGCCGTTCGATTAGCTGCCTCCCCACCCACCCAGGGTCAGTGGGTTCAGTCTGGGTGGGGGGAAGGTGCTAGAATCCAAACCTTGACCCCGGGACCTTTGGGCCCATTAAGCCAGTGTTTGTCTGCCTGTTGCCCACACCTCTATGCTTCTCAGCTCCAGGAAAAGACCCCAGCTTAGTCCCCGGTGGGGGTAGGGATGGGGCAATGAGGTGTGTCATGCTGGGGATCAGGGAGGACAGGAAGAGGAGTCAGTTTCCAGCTCTCTATTCCTCCTGCAGCTCCACCCTCGAGTTGCCTTCTCACAGGTCGGCTGCAATGACCAATGACAGGAAATTGAGAATGGACTCACAGTGGGGTGGAGGCAAAGAAAGGGAGGTATGAGCGAACAGGCTCTGGTGGCACCATTATCTCAGTCCTTGGGACCCACATCATGCACTTGGGACAGTCATGGAGTGGGCCATGTGGCCGCAGCACTCCCCGAGGGCCAATGACACCCCCTGAACTCCCAGCCTCACGTGTGAAGGATGTAGTTCCAGGACTGAGGTTCCCAGGGGACAGAAAGCAACCTGAGAGTGGCATGGCCCTCTGCCCATTCCACTACTGTGCCAAGCCCACGGCGGGAGAAGAATCAGTTCTGCAACCCAGAGCTGAGGAGTGTCCACCAGTAGGAGGCCATGGACATTGGGATTGGGAGTTTGGAGGGTGGGAGGGAGCTTGGTGCTCCTAGCAGGGCTGTCCCAGGGGCTGACCTCAGCTTGTGAGTCTTGCCCTCACACCCATTCACATCACTTGCCCAAACTTCAAATGGGAGAAAACTTTTGTGCTGGTAGTCGCCATCCCGCTCAGTGGTCCCCTCTGTAACAGCAGGTGCACAGACTAGGGGGGGCTGACATCTAGTCTGTCTCAACCTTATGGCAGTTTCCCATCATGCCTTGGGGAGAACTGGTGGGAGCAGGACTCATGGGGGAGGGAGGATCCACCTGGACAGATCTAAAGCAGGCCAAGATGCACAAGAGGAGCTTGTTCTAGCCGGTCCTGCCTGCCCCAAGCTGGGCTTCTGAGCCTCAAACTCTAAGCAACAGTGAAGTCCTCAGGAGTCAACTGAAAGGCCCCCGCGGGGCCAGAGGCCTTCAGCCATGTGTGTCAGTGCAGGTGCAGGAGCAGCTGGGACACACCCCGATTCGGAGCCTAGGACACACATTCTGCCTTTCAGGCACAATCACTGGACGCTTCATTCTGGAACAAATAACCCTTCTTTCAGGCCTGGGCCTGTCGGACAGGCATCTCTTGATGCTTAGTAGATCCTAGGTTCCATTTGCCAGGTGCCTACAGTTGTCTCTCCCTGTCCTCAGTTGCGACAACCAAAAGTTTCTGTAGATATTGCCTGAAGTCCCCCACCTGGCAAGATCATCCTCCATTGGGAACCACTGATTTAGGGCAAACAAGTAGATACGTATATAGCTTTGTTCTGGCTTTGGGTCTCATTTTGTTCATTCTATGTTCGATTAGCTGCCTCCCCACCCACCCAGGGTCAGTGGGCTCAGTCTGGGTGGGTTTTCACTATCTTATCTGTGTCACTCTGCAGAGGTGTCCCTGCTCCCTCAGTCTTAATCTCTGTGCTCATGTATATGTGTGTGTGTGCACACACATGCTTGGGTGGTGTGCATGTGGTATTTGGTATGTATATGTGATATGTGTGTATGGTATGTATGGTGCATGTGTGTGGTGTGCGTTAAGGTATGGGGGTTATGTACATGAGCAGGGGTGAGGTATGTGTGTGGTGTGTGGAGGAGTGTGCTGTGTCATATGGTGTGTGCATGTGTGTGGCTTGTATAATATGTTTTGTGAGTGGTGTAGGTTATGTGTGCATTGTGTGTTCTATGTGTGTATGTGTGTGGTGTGTGCCTATGTATGTATGTGTGTGGTGTGTGTGATGTATGAGTGGTATATACACAGTGCGTGAAGTGTGTGGTGTCAGGTGTTGAGTGTGGTGTATGTACAGCACATGCATGTGGTTGTGTGTGTATGGTGTGTGCAGTGGATGGTGGTGGGTTGTGCATGGTGTATGTGTATGTGTACCTGCAAGACCTTTCGAGGTCTCCATGGAGCTCTGAATTTCTTGCATCCTCTCTCCCTKCTCCTCTCTCTGTGTTTCTATCTAGGCCTCTGTTTCCTTGGCCTCACTCCCTCGTGGAGGGGGTCTCCTCATTCTGTGGTCAGGAGCAGGACTGGTCAGGCCAGCCACAGGGCCGTGAGGACGGAGCCTATGCAGGGCAGTAAGGTCAAAACCAGTGCTCACTCATCGTGGAGTTTGTTCCAGTCACTGGGTTCACAAGCCCTGGGTGCCAGCTCATAGAGCCTGTGGAGTAGCACAGACAGGTCAGCAGGGGAGTGCGCAGGCCACCAGCACCGCCCAGAGCTGGGGACAATGGTGTATACCACTGCARTGTCTGACTAGCTCTGTCACTCCCCTGTTTGTGTCTGCATGACCCAGTGTGCTGAAACCCTTCGGGGTCCTTTTCAACTCAAGCATCCTGTGATTCTGAAGAAATAGGAGTCACACATGGTTTCGTGTGCACAGATTCACTTTGGCTTTCACAAGTCAGGAGGTCTCATTTGTTGCAGAACTGTCATACATTTTTTACCAAAGTGTGAATTCAGTCCCCATGCCCCCTTTTCATCCCAGAAGCAGACGTAGCTCCAACCTTCTGCCCTGAGCCCTCATTTCCTGCAGTCTCTCTCTCTAGACCCCACTGAGCCTCACACTATGGGGGACATTGT